CGTAAGTCGGGCTCAGGATGGTGGCGTCCCATGTGATGACCCGCAGCTGAGCCGTGTGTGGCGTGTGCGCGCGACGTTGGTCTTCACCGAGAAACGAGGAGGAGGCGGACGAACAAACGGCGACGATGAAGACGAACAAACGGTGGCGACGAAGATCAACAAACGGCGACAGGGAGCGGCCTGTGCGAGAGTACTCGACGGCAAGAATGTCGCGCACAGGGAGTCGTGCAGCACTGGCGGAGCCGTGGTGCTCAAGAATGCACGACCCGGAGCGTGGTATGGGATGATGGCCCGCCACGTCTTTTCGCTGGAAGACAATAATATCCCCTCCCCCATCTCTCCGACTCACACACAAAAACAAAAAGAACTACAAAAATAAATGGGGCGAACGACATTGGGATAATGTGAGCCAATTCCCTGGTTCTGACAGCGCGCTAACAACATCCGCAGAATTAAACTTCAAGAATTGAAAACAAAATTTAAAAAGTGAGTGCATCTTTCGCCGTCAAACGTCTCATTCATTGAACTCACCCTTCGCACAGAAAAAAAAAATACCCCCAAAAAATAAATGAACAATAAAACAAAACAAATGAAAAAATAAATAGAGCGAACGTCGCTGGGATAATGTGAGCCTATTTCCTGGTCCTGACGACACGCTGACGATGTCAGCAGAATTAAACATCAAGAGTTGGAAAAAATTGAAAAGTAAGTGCATCCTTCGCCGTCGAACGTCTCATTCATTGAACTGACCCTTCACACAGAAAAAAAAATAACCTCAAAAAAATAAACGAACAATAAAACAAACCAAAAGGATAAAAACACATATCGTCATAAAAGTGGAAGCTCGTTGTCCATCAAGCCCAGCGAGCGCTCGATGAGTCGCTATTTCCATCTCACATAAAAACTTGACTAACTTCTGCCGCGGTTTCTACCGCCGTGAGTATTCCACATTTGTCTTGTTTTTGCGACGGTGACTGATCATTTTTGCGAGGATTTCTTCGGGCGGGGGGCGTAGGGGGGGAGGGGGTTGGGAGGTGCGCGTGTCGTGTGCGGATAGTTGGGATGTGAGTTGCGAGTTTCGTGGCATGGTGGCCTGAAAAAAAAAAAAAAAAAAAAAAAAATACTTACTATTAGGAGTAACAAGCAGCAACACAAATATTATACAGTGGAAGGGGAAAAAAATGCCGACATCGCGGTCACATGATTGACGCGCCATATTATTTGTCCAGATTATTGCAACGGTAAGACTGATGATAATGTTCGGGGAAGCTCAACGTTCAACGGCGGGCGAACGTGTGCAGAGGGACAAAGCAGCACGATCCATGCTGATGGACGCGGCGAAACGCGTCGTTGCGAGGCAGCCACCGTGACAATCTGATGGTGTTCGTAGTTCCCTTTCTTAGCTGAAAGAGTCCGGCTACGCGAAGCGATGGCATACGGCCCTGAATGCATATGGTCTCCTTATTGTTCTCCAGGTGATTGAAAAGCAATACATCTTTTGCTATGGCCCTTCACCCCCGCTCTCTCCCGACACTCCGTTGACGCGCTATTCATGGTCTAGGAGCTGTCAATGGAAAAATGGTGGGCCGGAAGATCTCCACACGTCAGCCTCGGTACCGCACCAGCCTCGTGGTGTTGACGAATCGACCGGCCGGTTGACAGAATGATGGGATCTGTAATTGCTATAATTGTCTCACAAAGCGCTCAAAGCGATATAAAAAGCGACACACCTCGCTTTCTCTCTTGTTCTCCAACCACCATGTATCCCACTCCCACCTCGTCTCATACACTTCTATGTGTGTCTCCCGTTCAACTGGTCCTCATCCTCCTGGTGCTTTATCGAAGACACTGTGGCGGGCGCTTACCTTTCACAGCTCTTATCGACGGCCATCTCAAGAGCAACGACGGTGTCGACGCATACAGGTATGTTCTCCATCGCGTTTGGACATCACTCACCATGGATGATAGATGTCCTCATCGCCGGGCAATGCTCGACCCACCTGGATAGAAAGGTACGTCGACGCCACAGATTCTGACTGCATGCTCATCGCCCACCCAGATCGAGTACGATGGCCACCGCCCCAGCTCCAGCCGTGTGTCGTCGAAGGGGCCAACACCTGTCCACCCCGCGCCCGTAGCTCGGCGTTGCCAGCCCTGGCTGGCGAGCGAGCAGCGACAAAGATCAACAAACGGCGACAGGGAGCGGCCTGTGTGAGAGTACTCGACGGCAAGAATGTCGCGCACAGGGAGTCGTGCAGCACTGGCGGAGCCGTGGTGCCCAAGAATGCACGACTCGGAGCGTGGTATGGGATGATGGCCCGCCACGTCTTTTCGCTGGAAGACAATAATATCCCCTTCCCCATCTCTCCGACACACACAAAAACAATAAAAAACAATAAAAAAACAAAATAGGACGAACGACATTGGGATGATGTGAGTCGATTTCCTAGTTCTGACGGCGCGCTGACGACCTCAGCAGAATTAAACATCAAGAACGGGAAACAATAAAAATTAAAAAGTGAGTACATCCTTCGCCGTCGAACGTCTCAGTCATTTAACTCACCCTTCGCACAGAAAAAAAAATATAACCCCAAAAATGAACGAACCAAATAAACCAAAAAGATAAAAACGCATGTCGCCATAAAAGCGGAAGCTCGCTGTCCATCAAGCCCAGCGAGCGCTCGATGAGTCGTTATTCTATCTCACATAATAACTTGACTAACTTCTCCTGCGGTTCCGACCGCCGTGAGTATTCTATATTTGTCTGTTTTTACGACGGCGACTGACCATTTTGACGAGGATCTCTTCGGGCAGGCGAGGGGGGGGAGGGGGGGTTGGCGTGCGTGTGCGGGTACTTAGTCGGAATATGAGTTGCGAGTTTCGTGGCATGGCGGCCTGCGGTTAAGAAAGAGCGGAGCGCACTATCGAGAATTAACGTACCTAAAATGACAGTTTTTATCATCTTTAATTGGCTTCTTTCTGCGTGAGAAGAGCAAGATTAAAGCTATCCAGCTAGCCACAAACACGGCGCTACGTACGGTCCAGTGAAGTCCACGAGTCAACAGCCGGCTCGTTGCCATTCAACAAACTTACCTTGACCTTCTATGTTGCTGTGCAGGCCTGGTGCTTCACTGGTGCTTCGCGTTGAGTATGGCACAGACGTGGGAAAATATCTGCGCAAGAATAACGGGAAACCTGTGGCTGTCGCGCCACACAGCGTCGGCTACAGCAGTGCACCTGCATTCGGGGACTGTGCGCAATCAGACGGCATAACAATTCAAGCGCACAAAAGCATCAGATGTTAACGCTCGAAAAATACATTGGAACGCGCGATGGTGTTAAGGTGAAACAAGACAGATGGAAAGAGAGGGATGAAAAGAGAGGATTACAATACAAATATAATACGATACAAACCGCGCCACATCAGCCGAGTCGTCGAAGAGGCTATCGCGACTGCAACGTCGTTTCCTAAGACCTGCTTTGGCTGACCCTCCCATGTAGCCTCACCCGCTATGTTGCTGGCCTATTCGACGTTGCCACTACGGCCTACTCTATAACGCCGAGGTGGTCTTCTTTTATAGTGCCGATTGCAAACTGAAGATGCGGAGATGGGATGCAAGTGTATAAACGCAGAAACACGGGGTAGAAGATACTCACGATTTCGGTCGCATCGACACGCGTGCCGACGATTTTTAGGCGCACCTTGGTGTTTTTCTCGATGATCTACGGAATGCGTCATGGAAGAAAATGGAGAGTAGGCCATGGCCGCCGGTGCAATGGCGCAAAGGGAAGATATGACTGAGCAAAAACAAAAAGGAACGCAATGGTCAAAGCTGACCTGTTCGTCTGAAGCGAACGATGGTGGATTTGAGTTGGGGTCGAACTTCAAGTCCGGGTGTATCAGCTGTGCAACACAGGCATGAGCAAATTAGCAGGAGAGAGAGTGCTCGGGGGAGAGGGATGCACAGACTTGTTGCGAGACGAAGACCTGTAACGGCCCCACGTTCACGAAGAAGCCCATCTACGCAACGACCCATACACAACCATCAGGGATTAATATAACATGACCACCAATCGAACGACATCGCACCTTCGTAACGCGATCCACAATCCCATCCACAACCTCGCCCTTGAACGGCTTAAAGACTACGGCGCGGTATCTGGTGATGAACTCGGCCTGGCCGCTCCCGCTGAGCACAATGCCTTTGCCGATGTCGATGAGGCCGACGACGGCAATGATGTAGCCGAACTGGCCAGAACATGTCCCCTCAACATCCGCGTACAGCTTCGACTCGAGGAAGTTGACCATCCGCGGGCCGAAGTACGAGGGATGTAGCAGGATCGTGTGGGTTAGTTCTTTCTGTGTGCGTTTGTCAATGTGTGGGATCATTCGTGCGTGTGTATGTGTACGCGTCCGTGTGAGTTCATTGACACATGGTTCAAGAGCGCGTTGTCGTTGCGTTGGAAAGCGGAGGTCGCAAGACAAACCCATGTGGATGGTAGACGGTTCCGTTGCGAAACGAGGATTCGAAAATAAGACGCGGACGCGGACGAGATGGTATTTTCAGACTCACGATAAAGAACATCCTTGCAGTGGAAAGTGGAAGCTGCAATGCGATATATTGAAGTCAGTCCAGCGTCGGGTGAATGAGCACAAGCCAAATTGTTCAACATTTCTTTCCCGATGAACTCGTTATGCGTGTCACGGAAATTGGAGAATAGCGTTCCTGCTCGAGGAGGAAAAAACAAAGATAGAGATGACGATTTGTGGAGGTATGTATGCATCAGGCAAATTCAAATTATTTAAGCCTATCATCGGTCCTATCATCTCGGATCCCATACGTATACATAGCTATTACATATTTGCTGGCTTCCATGACGAGTTAATGAGAGGCTATAAGTACATGGCATAAATCGCGCAATGCGAAGATTTGGCAAAGCCGCTCACAACATTGAAACACCAGGTGTGGCACAAAATGGTAAAGACACCTTATCAGCATTGGCCATGGTGGGGATCGAATCCAAAACCTTCGCGTTATCACATAACACGACACTCTAACCAACTGAGATACATATGTATTTGAATCGAAGGGTCGCTCGCAACGTTATTGAAACAGTAAGTGTGGCAAAAAAACGGAAAAGATGCATATGAACATTGGCCATCGTGGGGATCGAACCCAAGACCTTCGCGTTATTAGCACGACGCTCTAACCAACTGAGCTAGACGGCCTTGCAGAAGCCCAAGTAAATATACATCAAGGATCTGTCTACATAAGGGAGACACACTTAATCTCCTAGGTCTCGACTCTCTTGTGTAGACGTCGACTTGTCGCACCGTTTGCTCCTTCTTCAAGGTTGTCGAAAACATTAACGAACGAACATGTCAAGCACCTTATAGATCGATACGCCCGCAAATGTTCCAGCTTTCCATTATCAAGGACACGATCCCCGTCCAGCCTTGCGACTTCGGCTTGCCCGCCCCGCAGGCGCTGACCACCGAGCTGAACAAAAAGTACGCAAACAAGGTCCTGCACAACGTGGGACTCGGGATCTGCGTGTTTGACTTTGTGGAAGTCGGTGAAGGCAAGGTGCGCTACGGGGACGGCCTGCTGTGGTACAGGCGTCAGTTGCCTTCGCTCGTGTGGCGCAAAGAGCAGGGTTTCGCTGATTCTTGGATTTCGACTTTGTAGTAACGTTCCGGCTCGTCGTATTCCGCCCATTCGTATCGGAAGTCATCCTTGCAAAGGTGCAGACGTCTGACCATGAGGGCATGCGATGTGGGTTCACTCTTGCTCTTCCGACCCATTCATTGAGTTACTGAACCATCAAATAATAACAGTAAGCCTAGGCTTCTTCGACGACATATACATCCCCGCAGTTTACCTTCCTCAGCCTTCGACTTTCGACCCCATCGATCGCGCACATTTCTGGCTGCTAAACGCACCGGATGGTGCGGACACTGAGATGACGATGCACCAGCTGCTCGATACGCCGAAAGACGAGCGATTGTATATCCTTAAGGGAGATACCGTGCGTGTGCGCGTCGAGGCGGATGAGTTCTATGACGACGAGCCTGGGCCAGTGAAGAAGTCTGAGCTCAACGCTGCTGCGAACCCTGCCTCAGATGCAGCGCGCGTACAACCAAAACGGTCACCATATACCATCACGGTAAGCGTATTTTTTTCTATCCTAACGGTGACATTCGCGCGTGGCTTACATCCATCGTGACGCAGTGTTCAATGGCCGAACAGGGTCTGGGTCCAATATGGTGGTGGAACGGCGGGGAAGCCGAGGAAGGAGACGACGACGCCATGGACCAGAGCTGACACCTGCTCTTACATATAATGACATATTGAGGCTGAGAATTTCGACCTCTATTTGTGTATGTCTCTCGTATCAATAACGTTGCTATCCCACTGTCTGAGGCTCTGACCGATCCGGCATAAAGACGCGCGAACGAATATGAACGAACAATAGACCCATCGTTGCATTGTCCGCCTAATTAGGCAGTCCTGGCCATGCCCCCGGGAACGCACCCACGCCAATGTTTTGCTGCACAACAATCACACGGGGATGCTATAGCGGCGTTCTATGGTCGACGTAAATTTGAGATAATGACCCAGGAGAAGGGGCGTCCACAGGGTGCCCATATCCGTCCCATGCATGGTCTACGCGCCCCCTGGAGGGCCTTACACGACCCATCGAGGCGGCCACGGGTCGACGTGCAGTGGATGGTGATAGGAAACGTGTCGCGCTGCGTTGGGGAAGAATACGAAGATGCTAAAGCACAAAATTAGTGTGCCATTGGGTGAAGAAACGTGACATGATGAGATCATGGGTACGCGCGGAGTGGAATGTTGAGATTCAGGACGCAGAGTGCGCCGCGAAGTGACATCCGAAGAGAACGTGTGAAGGTGGCGTCTTGAAGAAGAATCATCTTAAAAAGCGGAAACGAACATGAAAGGGAAAACACAATGTAATAGCACCAGTGGAAAATACATGCCAGTAGTAGTACGAGAGGGGTACAGCAAATGCGAGGACAATAAAGAGGATACATAGGTAGATGGACATTCCACAACAACAGCAAAGAGAAAGATAGCAGGGAGCAAGCAAGCACAGATCGTTGAGTGAGAGGGGGGCGGCGTGTAGTTATGTGCAAATGTGTGTGATGCATGAGTTCACGAAATGTGAATGCGCGTTCTATAATAGCTGGGGATTGAACAAGTTCTGCAAAAATTGCGTCTGTTCGTCAGATAAGCAGGAAGCATCTAATGACTGCCCATAGGGATTTTTGAATGAGGGCCCAGCGATGTCCACGAAAGATGATGGAAACAGGTTCTGGGTGTCTTGCGACGGAGGTGCGTAGGGCACGCCAATGGCAAAGCTGAGTTCAGATGGCACGCCAGCGGGAAGACTGAGTCTAGGCGGCACACCATCAGCAAAGCTGACTGCAGAAGGTACACCGGTGTCAAAGTTGAATCCAGGAGGAATGCTAACAGAGATACTGGGTGCGTAAGGGATATCAGCAGCCTTGCTCGACGCAGCCAACCTCCGCGTCCGTAAAAGGTCATCCCCCGGCGTCTCGAATTTCTTGTGGCGGCGCTTGCGTTGGTAGCACGCGTGGCACAGACTCTTACCGGAAGTCTTATCATTGTGCCAGTTGGACTACACACGGTGTCAGATCATATGAAGAATCGCGAAAGAAACAAGACTACACGCACGGTGTGCACGCTTCCGCATTGCCCACACGTCCGCTGTTCCTCACGATGAGGATGCAGAGACTTCGCGCGCTCGAGTTTACGGTGACGTGCCTGCTTCTGCGGCGGCGATTTACGGCGCCTCGAATAGGCAGGACGTTCTTCGGCTTCTGACATGACGATGTCGGGTGCAGGTGGCGGAGGCATGATCGCCGGGAGTGAATTATGCGAAGCAGGTCCGAGAAGGGCCTGACGCATGCACGGGCGCTGCGGAAAGTCGGCGATCGACTTCGACCCTGCTCTGCAACAATTTATGCAAAGCAGCCTCCTGCGGTCCTCCGGATGGATGCGCCATTTGCTCTGATGACGGACGTCAGAACGCCCGCCGAAGAGGATTGCGTCAAGCAAGACTTACGGAGGCACATGTCCCGCACGAGGCGCACGTTTTCTGCTGTGAGGGATCAAATCGCGACGGGGATGGTTTTGTAGATGGTGGGTACATGAACTGCGAAAAGCCGGGACCCAGAGGCATCTCCACAACAGTGAGAGGGAACTGCGGCGCGACACCTTGTAGGGCGGGCAACAGTGGCGGCGGATATGATGGTTTCCCGCATTTGGTATTGAAACACTCCGCGCACAACGTCGCGTGTGTCTCTGGGTTATGGTACCACGTTCTCTGAAGCAGCCCAGAGTCAACATATAATACACATGCACGCAGAATAGGATGCATACCGGACCAGTGGCAGTAATCCCACAGGACAGGCATTCAATCCTCTTCCTCCCAGAGCCATACAGTCGGCGCGCGAAGCAGTTGGTGCACAGGACCATGTCAGTTTTAGGATTGCGGAACCACCGCATCGGAGTAGGCACACCGCATTTCGAGCAATTGGCAGGGGCAGCGCCATCCTTGTCGACAGAACTCTCCTCGTAAAGCGATAAGTCGCTGTCGCTTTCCGACTATACCGACATAAATTAGCTATGTGTTTCTTTCATCGATCGCCTCGTCCGACGCACCGAAGATGTTAAGTCGTCAACGAGGGACGGCGGGGAGGCTGCCGATGGTGCAGCGCTGGCCTCACATCCTGTGAGTTCAAAGAAATTCGGCAAGACGGGCTGAGTAGTTCACAATCGTCAGTCGCCACATCCGATCAACGATTACAAGGACAAACCTACCTGGAAATTCGCGTCTCCGAGTAAGTCATGGCCGGGGATTCCGCATTGGAAGCTCAGATTAAAGGGATCATAGTCCTGCAGGGGAACGATGAGGCTGCGGCACAGGGGGGGAGGCAGAGAACACTCACGACTTGCGTGAGCAGTGAGTGATCCAAGGCACCGTAAACCATGACAAACCGCCAAAGAGAAAAATCGCAAAGAGATGCGTGGAGAGGAAATAAAAGACTTGGCGACGGCGTGGGTTGGGCACACCCTCATGCTTGCGTTGGAAGCATTTATCTAACATAGCAGAGCTCGACATCACACACGAGGCAGCCCTCGGAGGAAAACCAGTCAAAGACTGAGACAATGATAGAAAATATGCCAGCCAGCTCATTAAAGACAATGAACAACGCATCGAACAGCCGCCAAAAAGGTGGCCAGGAAGAGAAGATAAGGTTCGCTTTACTGGCCGGCGAAATTGGATGGGGGATTATGCAGAAGAGAAAGGGATTCATCTCGCATGCTCTGATTGTATTTCCCCATCGGGAACAAACAAGACTTTCCGTTGAGCCGGCGGTGAGCGCTGCGAGCTTTGAGAACCTAAAAGATCAAAATATAAGTCAACACAAATAAACAGACATCAGTTGTGGGCGGTCTATCCCGTCCGGCCGTTTGTTAGTGAAAGACACATTGTTGCGCCACCAGTGCACGGAGCGCAGCGGACGGACGTAGAGATAGGCGGAAGCAAATTCGGTCGCCGATGCTTCCTTCCGCCACGTGGCTCCTCCATCTCACGGACACCGTTGCCTCACGTGCCGAGGACAACAGGCGCCGGATGAAGGTATGACTCACGTCTTTTGTTCTCTTTATATTAACGTACTCCAATTTCTGGACGCGATAGTAGCCCAGATAGCATACTATACGGACCCCTGTGAGAGCCCAATCCCAATCCCAATTATATTTATATTCTTGGCGATTGGGCCATAGACGTAGGATAGAAGCATAAATACAGAGCGTGCGCACGCCAAAATTCCGTTGGGATATTTAATCCGGCGGTGACTTCGAGCCTTCACCCGCACGGCCACTTCAAGGAAATGGTAGAAGACCGACGTGTTGCAAGCACGGGCCCGGGGATAGGATGGTTAGTGTTACGTAGTGTTACGTAGTAGCGATATCACTCCACACACGAATGTTGCATTCTTGCAAACTAACTAATCGATTCGACC